GGTTATTTCTTTACATATCAGAGTAACATACTTATGTACTTTATCTCACAATAAAGCCAATTTGGTAAGTGGCAATTTGTTCATACTTCAAACATTCTGAGTATTTATAATATTTAAGAATTATCTGGTCTATTAGCCTAACAGTTCAGCCTTCTAAATCCAATCTAAAAATGTGTAAATGAGTAATCAACATGGACTTGTACTAATCATTTTAAAGTAGAAATCTTAAGTTATCTGAGGCATTGAAATAGCCAAGATAATTCAACGTTCTACACATTAAGACTAATTTGTTCTATTTATAAAAGATATTAATGTACTTGAAAAGATTTCAAATCAGGGAACGGAGGTTCTTGAAATAGTAACTGAATATACTGAATTTAGAAATGCTTTTTCAAATGTTTTAAAAATTCTACTAAGGTTGTAAATGTGACTACACATTATCTAAAAGCTCCTTGAAAGTATTTGCTGAAATTTGCTAAACTCATCAATAGAAAAAAATAAACAAAAAAACAACCCATGAGTTTGACCTTAGAAACTTAAGAAAGAACTAAATCTTTGGATTTATATCCTTAAGAAATCATCTTTTTAGAGCAAACTTCTAAATAATATTTCTCTACCAACTTGTTCAGAATACACAAAACAATTCACATGTAATGCTATCTATTTTTCACATTATATAAAAGCAAACAAAAATACCTATGCCAGAAGATTTTTTTTTTAAATTCTCACACAACACCAATTTACATGATGGAAGATTTTGAGGGTTAATTTTAATTAAAATTTGTCTAGGATTATATTCAAAAACACAAACCACTTGACAGTTGATATGGTGACATACGCTACTTTCAAAGAAGTTACTGTTTACTTTTTTGGGGGGAGGTGGGGGTCACAGAGCAATTAACTGCTATGGAGCTCCCAGAAAAGTGTATATAGACACACCACAAAATTCAATAGTCAAAGATCTCTTGAAAAACACTACAGGTTAAGGACACTTAAAGCTCTCCATTATCCTGGTGGCCAATTGTGAAATCAGAGCTTAAGTTATTTTAGACATATTATCCAGCAAAATATAATTGTATGTATTATATTATTATATTCATTTTAAATCTGAAAGGTAATGTCTTTAAGAACAAAAGTTGACTTTTTTTTCATTTACCACTTAAAAATGAACACAATACCACTTTTTACATACTAAATAAGCAAAGTTTTGTTTTGTTTAGAAGAATATACTGGCAAGGATGAGAGGAACTGAAACCAGTCTCATACACTGAAGTTAGGAGAATACAGTTATATAACCTTTGTGAGTAACAATTTGGAAATGTATACATAAAGCCTCAACTCTCTGAGGAATATTCAACTCTTGATTAACTCTACTACTAGAAATTTATTCTAAGGAAATAATTTTGGATGTATAGAATTTACAGCAAGAATGATCATCAAAAGCACTATTTATTTATTTATTTATTTATTTTTTGAGACTGAGTCTTGCTCCACTGCCCAGACTAGAGTGCAATGGCACAATCTCAGCTCACTGCAACCTCCATCTTCCAGGTTCAAGCGATTCTCCTGCCTCAGCCTCCTGAGAAGCTGGGATTACAGGTGTCTGCCACCACACCCAGTTAATTTTTGTATTTTTAGTAAAGACAGGGTTTCACCATGTTGGTCAGGCTGGTCTTGAACTCCTGACCTCAGGTGATCCACCCACCTCACCTCCCAAAGTGCTGGGATTACAGGTGTGAGCCACCATGCCGGGCCGACAAAGGCATTCTTTATGATGCCCAACCCTGGAGACAATATAACATGAGCAATAATGGAGGAGTAAATAATGTATAGGACAATGGAAAACCGTAAAAAATTTAAATATATTTAAGATGAATATTTAGTGGCATGAAAATGCTCATGAATCTACTGCTAAGAGAATAAAGGGTCAATTTCTGCATAGCAAATTCTATTTATTTATTTTAAAGGAAAAAGTCTACAAACAGAAAAACAAGACTAGAGGGACATATGATGAATTTTTAATGTGGGGAATTATAAGTATTTTTTTTCTTATCTAAAATTTTAACAAATAGATCAATAATTTATTAGATTATATGCACTCTTTGTTTACCTTGACTTCTGGCCTAATTTAAGAACCATGCAGTATGAGGAATCAATCCTGTAAATTTTATTATTACAGTTGTTGTTTGCCTAAACTATTAAAGGTATTTATTCAACAATTTGTGATAAGAAAAACCAAAGTTGTAGTAAAGGTATGGGCTACTGATGAAAGATCTATAATTAAATGTGGCTGGCCCTCAAAATAAGAAAACAAGTTCCAATTGTTGAAATAAATATGATAGTTATCTTCTGCAGTGGGGATGAAAGGTGATTCTAGTCTGTCATTTGAAATATCACAGATGAGGACTGGCTTCCGTCACATTCAAGGGTTAACATAAATTATATGGTACTCAAACGTCAGTGTATACAACGCAGCACCCCAATTTAAAATTAATGGTAAAACAAGATATGTTATAATACATTCTGATCATAATTATATTGAAACAGTGAGATAGATAAGAGACAGAAATATATCAAGCTATTTAAAAGTAGGTATCTGAGTGATACTATCACAGGTGATTTCCCCACTTTTTTTTGTTTTTCTATTATTTTTTAAATGGGCATAGATTACATTTTTTTTTTTTTTTTTTTTAAGGAGACCAGGTCTCACTCTGTTGCCCCAGTATGGACGGCAGTGGCATGGTCATAGCTCACTGTGTTCACCTTGAACTCCTGGGCTCAAGCAATCCTCCCACCTCAGCCTCTTGAGTAGCTGGGACTACTGGTGCACACCACCATGCCTTAAAAAAAAAAAAAAATTCTTTCATAGAGATGGGGTCTTGCTATGTTGGACAGGCTAATTTTGAACTCCTGGGCTCAAGTGATCCTTCTACCTCGGCCTCCAAAAGTGCTGGGACTACAGGCCTGAGCTACTGTGCCTGATCTATTACATTTTCTTAGTGAGGAAAAACCCAGAGTGATCCTTTGGACTCTGTGTTCTAATTGCGCAGTCCTTGAAAAGTTACGAATATGTCCTTTAAAAAAGTTTGTCTAGTAAATTACTGAGAAGCCATTATCTCCCCAACCTATAATTAAATAAGTAAAATTTAAAATACAGATATGAGTTATGCCACAGTTCTAATATACTAGAAATAAGTATAGTGGAAAACAACACATAGAAGTTAACTTTTTTGTCTTGAAGCCACTAAATAAATTAACACTTCAGCCTGTAATTTGTTGTTGTTGTTGTTGAGACGGAGTCTTGCTCTGTCCACCCAGTGAGCGCGATCTCGGCTCACTGCAAGCTCCGCCTTCCCGGTTCACGCCATACTCCTGCCTCAGCCTCCCCAGCAGCTGGGGCTACAGGCGCACGCCGCCACGCCCGACTAAGTTTTTTGTATTTTTAGTAGAGAGACAGGGTTTCACTGTGTTAGCCAGGATGGTCTCCAACTCCTGACCTTGTGGTCCACCCACCTCAGCCTCCCAAAGTGCTGGGATTACAGGCGTGAGTCACCGCGCCCGGCCCAGACTGGAATTTTTTAAAGCCCTAATTTAGCATTAGAAGCTCACATATCTCAGGCAATGGAAAAAGAATTAAAAGAAAATTAGTCAATACTGAAGGATAAATCAGGTCATATGCTGACATAAAAATCGATCATGTAACTTGAGACAATATTTCATACTTTTCTTCTAGTGGGAACCAAATGAAAATATACTAACTTTCTAGTTGCCAAATAAAAGATGAATTTTGAATGCTTCCTAAAGAATTCTTTAAATTTTGTAACCCTAATATCTTTACTATGAAAAATGCTCTTCGCTTAATTTACTTTTCAGGAGTCACTCTAGTCTACTGTTTCTGACATGAAATATTTTATTCTGATGACTGAATTCTTTATATATCTAGAAGGAGAAATAATTGTTTACATATAGCTCAATATATTTTAAAATTAAATGTAGTTTTGATTCCGAAACTTGTGGTCAAACGAATTCTTCTCCTTGTATTCACACATGTTGATATTTGGCCTAATAAGACAAAATCACAGAAGTGTAAGAATTAGGGGGTCAAGTTGGTGGCTCATGACTGTTATCTCAACACTTTGGGAGGCCGAGGCGGAAGGATCTCTTGAGCCCAGGAGTTTAAGCACAGCCTGGGCAACATGGCAAAACTCTGTCTCTACAAAAAATACAAAAACTAGCCAAGAGTGATGACGTGTGCTTTTAATTCCAGCTACTAGGGAGGCTGAAGTGGGAGGATCAGTTGAGTCCTGAGAGGTTGAGTCTGCAGTGAGACATGGTCATACCATTGCACTCCAGCCTGGGTGACAGAGTAAAACCCTGTCTTTAAAAAAAAAAAAAAAAAAAAAAAAAAATTAGAGTGGAAAGGGGCTCTAGTGATTACTAGCCTTCCCACAAGAATCCTGCTATGATTTTTTTTTTTTTTTACTTCTGGATTCCACTTGCTATGTAGTATGTCTTCCAATTTAAAAATATATGTTCAGAGACCTTATATAACTATCAATGAAACTTGTTCAGTAAGAGATAACCAATATATACAGACCTGATATATTTTCAGTCGAAAGTAAAGAAATGTGATGTTTTAGTTTTGTCACTATAGACAAATACATAGTTTTTATCGGGTCTTTTGTAAAACTGAAAATAACTTACAAGTACTTTTCCCTTATCTATTAACCTAAGGATTAGGAGATCCTTGTTTGGGAATGATCCATCTAGTCCAACCTTCTAATTTTGCATATAAGATGGTTCTAAATTTAGAGGTTTGATTAATCATGAAAGGGGGAAAAATGATCTTTCTCACATACATTTTATCGACCAATGAGGTGATTCCAGAAAAACTATACTCTGTGAACCAAGTAACCTGGTAAGTATAAACAGTTTAAATCCAATGAAACACAACCTGAAGTGAACTATTTCCACCAATGAAAAATAAGAAATGTTTCACATTTTAATTTTCTTTAAACCTTTTTTTATTTAGAGATTTTTCTGGTAAGGAGATATACCATAGGAAAGCAATTTCACTGGCAGTGAGGTATGTATATACTCTACCAAAATACTCCTTATTTTAACTGTTTTTAACTTTATTTACATACGAAGCAAAGAATCAATGCATATCCTTGGTTCAACTATAGTATCAGCCATACTACATGAAATAAAATGGTGCTTGCATACAAAAACTTGTTGTTTATAAAGGAATCTGATTTCAGATTAAAAGAACTAATTTGTTTTTGGAAAAAAATTTTAAAAAGAATCACAATTTATCATGACCAAGACACCTGCACCATATTTTCCATTCCTCACAGCACATTTATTTCAGTAATTCTGTTATGTCGGTTCTTAGCATGAGCATAGTGTTACACGATTTTCGTACATATAATCACATCCAAAACAAGTTCTAAAATTTAAATTGTAAACATTCTCATCATATGTAGAAATATTTTAATTGGTGTATTAAGTTTTGCTAACTGATCAAATTTGGAAGATAATATAAATGAGAACGTCTATTCTAAACTGTGTAGTGAGCATTGTTTATTAATTACATTTCTACAATGTTAAATAAAGTAAGAGGCAAACCTGTCCTGTAAGCATGTCAAATTTTAGGTAAAACATTAAAAAGAAACAAACCTGTTAACAAAAGAATGTCTTGCAATAAAGAACATTAGATTTTTAAAATCTATTATGATACAAAAATGTAAAGGGTAAATAGCATCTTTGTTGACAAAGTAGGAGGTAGCATGGATGCACCACTTTATTGTCTGAGAAATGCAACTGGAGTAAAGAATATTTCCTTACCACAAATAATTTCCAGAACTATGTACATATTTCTTTTAGAAATACTTGTTTAAACAAATCTCCCTCCACTTTTTAGTATAAAAAAAACCGTTCCATGTGATTTTAAAAAAAACACTTACACATCTAGATAGAATAGTACTCTGCCCTATTTGAGTGAACAGTCTCAAACTATGAAGTACATGATATTTAATGCCCTAATTTAAGTAAATTTAGTCAGCGGTTCTTGGTATTATACAAAACACTAAATACATACAAACAAAATATAATATCTTATTTTTCTATGCAAGTCTTGTGGGGAATAAACAGAGCCTTGATTCTGGTAACACTGCAAAAAACATAATTGTCCAATAAGTCTGTCTATAAGTATCCATGTGCAACAGTTTATTAATGGCTGCTTACATGTACTGCTTTTTTATTGAGTGAACACAGTTAACCAATAAAACTTCATAAACCTTAAAAACACATCTTCCACCCTATATAAAATATATAGACTACTTACTGTTTTAAGTATTCAATTTGCTCTGATGTCATTGTAATTCATTTTCCCCCATTTTCCTGCTTTAGTATTTATAAACAGATAATTTAATGTGGCTTTAAAAAAAAAAGAATTTCAAATTTACATCCAATTCAAATTGGCTATTCAAAAGGTTTCCTGGTTCTATGAAGCTGCTTCGGCCATTAGTAGAGAAAATGAAGTTTCTGTAATGGAGGCAGGCTTTTTAAGTAGTGACGTGACTTCCACCATGCCAGCTCCAGTCCGTGGAAGATTAGCGTTTACAATATGTCGTTGTAAGTGCTTAATCCAGTCTTCCTGAACAGACAAGGGTCCTCGAAAGACTAGGCCACAAAACCTACAGAAAGATAACAGTTCTCTTAACATGACCAATTCTCCTTCTTTAAAACCAATTCACATAAAATCCTAAAACATAAGGAATAAACTTTACTGTATTTTAAAGACAACACTTGATAAAGTTTCTAAATAAAGTCAAATGATTTAATAAAACATCAAAACTCCCAATTCATATGTTTATTAACAGCTATAATAAACTCCAGTAATCTTTGTATAGGTGGGAGCATTATTATTAGGTTAAAATTAACATCTACACATCTTAATTCACTTGAAACAACAACCATTACTCCAAAATATGTCATGCTTTAGAAAAGACCCTTCCCCAATTTAGCATTCCTTAAATTGCATTGTGTCTGTGTTTCTTCATGTGTGTTGTGAGTGTGAGTACAGAAGAAGGCGTGACTATGAGGGGAGAGAAAAATGTGTTCCCAATAAGTGAGAACTCAAGATAGCAAAACATCAAACCAAACAAAGTTAAACCATACAAACCAGATAAACACAAGGAAAGCTACTTTTTTATTCTTTTTTATTTTTTCTGAGACAGAGTCTTGCTCTGCTGCTCAGGCTGGAGTGCAGTGGCACAATCTCGGCCCACTGCAACCTCCGCCTCCTGGGCTCAAGTGATTCTCCTGCCTCAGCCTCCTGAGTAGCTGGGATTACAGGCACCCGCTACAACGCCTGGCTAATTTTGGTATTTTTAGTAGACATGAGTTTTCATCATGTTGGCCAGGCTGGTCTTAAACTTCTGGCCTCAAGTAATCCACCCATCTTGGCCACCCAAAGTGCTGGAATTACAGGTGTGAGCCACCACACCTGGCCAAGCTATTAAATAAGTCACAGTATAGCAGATTTACATTACTATTAGCTAATGTAAAAAACTTGATTCATTAGTTGTTGAAGTACAGGATATTGTTAGCTGAATTAAGATTTTAAGCCTATCTCCAAAAGTTCATTTATAACTTGATTGTTGAGAATGCACACTCTGCCACAAATTAAAAACCCCAAATGAAATAGCTAATATGTTTCAAAGCAAAGTATGAAGAAACTGATCAGATCTGGCAAAAGAGGTATATACCTGCATCGGAGAATGTAAACCTCGTCAGCACCATGAGGTAATGTTAGCATTTTCTTCTTGCTTCCAGATCTTGACCTTGATTTCTTTTGCTTACAATCTAAGGCTAAAAAGAGGAAGAGAAAGACTTAACATTCCTTATATATTTCAAAATATACATATACGCATATTTTTCTAGAGAGGTCAGACAGACCATCTAAATCAGTTAGAAAAAGTCTGCATTCATTTCCCTTTTCCCTGAAGCATGCATTCAACTTGCTGATTCTGTAATAGCAGTAATATTATCTGTACGGTACAGCAGTATTTTCTGTACTGAAGAATACTATCTGTATTCTTCCTGTACTGCCTTTTCAAATAATGTTTTACCACGCCAAACTAGAACTGAGAAAATGTAACTAAATAACTCGAAACTACTAAATTGGTCAATTATTACAATAATGGCAATGTTTACTCTTATAATCACATATAATTTTAACATCTGGTTAAATCTTACTTATTTCCAGAAAAATATAACCTTTTGAGATCATTAAATTAAGTTTGCATTTGATTACCGCTCCATTAAGTAGGTCTTATATATTTGGAAAACTTAGTAAGGGAATATGGACAATGTAATTTAAAGCTCAACGAAAAATCAATTTTCATAGTGACTCACTATTAATTCTATAATAATAAATAGCTCTTAAAATTGTATGGTGGCCCTACATTTGAAAGGACAAAAAAAGTTCAACTTTCATTTTTGAACTTAACTTGTATTCCATATACAATAATCACTTATGCAATCATATGTTTTATTTTCCTACAAAATAAATATAAATCCATATTATTTCATGTAAGTTTACAACTGGATCTCATGTTTTATGCTAACTATTCTTTACATATTTTTCATTTTACATTTTCTCCAATAGCTTATTTTAAAATGTGATTTGAAAAGGTAAAAAAAAAATTATATTAAAATAGACCAAAATTGTATGTGAACTGTTCTTGAAATTTTTCCATTACTTGACTTTTCCTTTATTTATTCTAAAACAACCTAATTTTAAAAAGAAAAAAAAAGGTTTTTTTTATAGGCAGAAATAGATAGCACATAACATTTTATAGGTCTTTGAATACAGCTACACCATTTCTTTGGACAAAGGGATGATAGCAATCCAGGGTGCTGCTGGTCAATTAGCAGGAAGAGAAGGTAAGAATTTATCTGTAGGGATCCAAGGGGGGAGGGATACAAATGTAACAGAAGAGTTACCCAAATGGCTTTTCTTCCATTATCCTGTCATGTGAAAAATTCCCTTGAAAAATTCTAAGTAAGAGAGAAGGAACTGGCTATTCAATGACACTGTGAAATGAATTGTTCAAAGTCCAGATTCCAAAAGAATAGATGCTACTATCACAAAACCAGTAAACATAGTTCCTTAGTCAAATGGCAATGCTAACAGAAATGTCATATAGAAAATTCAAAACCACAAGAAACCTAAATTGAAGTCACTGGTATCAGCTTCCTGTCACCTGCCTATTCAAAAGTAAAATCTAGGACACACAGTCTTTTTCTGTTTATCCTTAGAAGAAGAGTCTAATAAGTAAAGAACTACTAGAAGTCAAGTTAGGTATTAAAGAATGGGTAATTCAAAACTAAACAACCAAACTCTGGAATAGAAAAATCTTATAAGGATCTTATTAGTTATCTCAGTCAAGAGCCTGACATGTAGTAGGAACTCAACAAATACTTCTGTAGTAAAAATAAAGCAAAACCCAGTAATTTAACCATTGATATTTAGACAGCCTAAGAATGAAAATGTTTTACTCCTATTTGATACAGGTAATATTCCTGTACAACACTGTGCATCATTTGTTTAAATATGTTGCTGCAGTCGCATGTACTTCATTATCCTAGATACAAATCACTGACCAGTCCAGCTTATGTAGAGAAACTAGGTTATTCACAACAACTACAAGAGTGAAATACGATATGCTTTGTAACCAGTAGGAAAAACCTTTTTCCTAATCGCTGTGGTAAGCAATCTGAATTTAAGTGGGTTATGAGTAATTCATATACTGGAAATAGAGTTGAGGTAACTCAAAGAGTAACTGCTACTAGATGTCAGCTATTCTTTCCATTTGTAAAGATGGATCCTTGTCTGTGTTAGGCAGAATAGAGCAGGCATTTGGTGTCTCGTAAGACTACAGGTATAATCTTACTTTGATGAGCTTGCTGGCTGTCAAAATTGCCACACTGTATTCAAACTCCTTTTAAAATGCAAATAAATTACTGTAGGATACAAATAGAATACATTATAACAACCCTTAAAAATTTGTTCACAGAATGTTAATGTTAGGGGTGTTAAGCAAATTGAGGAAGAAGGGCAGAGGATGGTAGGGAAATATGCAAAAGAACACTTTATCAGTTATAAAGCATTTAAATTTACATGTTGTAATATTTTAAAAATGGAACTGGGTATGTTTATTCTGAAATACAGAAATATTTTTGGTTTTCCTTTAGGGAAAAAAAGAATTATTTTATGGCTTTTGATGCTTTATGGACTGTGGAAATTCTTAAGTTTAGGCTGTGTTATGAATGATCAGATCTAAACTTGAAATGAGAATGCCATCATTTTTGTAGCAATGAATATTTGAAGGTATTATGACCTTGGAAAGCAGGACAACTCAGTTAGCATATGACTGATCGATCATCTCTAGAACCCAGGGCTCCAAAGTTAAGGTTACAGAATCTCAGGCACTGAGAATGCCTAGAAACTTATCCATAAAGTTAAAATATTAAAAATCTGGGATCTTTGGAAATTGAAATCTAAATGCCTCAGTGTTTTAATATCTTCATCAATTCTAGATTATCTCCTGAAATGTTATATTTTTGAGTAGGTGAGACATGAACATATTTTACAATAGTTTTTTCTAATGCCAATATCCAAACTCACTCCTGTGATAGTGCCCATACCTTTGGGAAAATCTGTTTAAAATTGAATATTTAACATATTAAAACTGCACAAAAAGGGGACATCTATATAGGATCCTCTACATAAAAAGACGATTTACACAGAAAATTTCAATAAATGAAAAGGATGAGGTACAAACATGTCTGTTATACCAATATTTTCACTTAAGAGATTTTATTATATCTAGAGGGAAAAGTAGTTTTGTTCTGGACTGTACCAGGAGCCACTACAACATTAAATACAGATCACTAACACATTCAGTTTTAGTATAATGCAGCTCATCAATATCTGTGATAAACAGCCAAAGCTTTAACAGAGTTGTTTATATGAATAATCTGCCAAATAGATAACTTTGTTACACAAAGCCTTTTTTTGTAATAGGATTTTATTTGCACTTGTTAGTGACCAAAACACTCCAAGGAACTTAAAAACAAAAAACCCACACACACTTTTCTCTTTACTAAGTATTTTAAATCTAACATTGTTTCTATAATTTAAATATATTAAAAATTTATTTTTAGAAAGTGTTAATTTTCTTCTCAAGTATAAGCTTCTTTAGAAAGAAACAAATCCAGTCGTCCAAACCTTCCTGAGATTACTAATCAGTGGGCAAACTGTTTAAGTGATCAATTTCAACCAAAAGACTGTCAAAAATCTTTCAAGTTACCTGATATATAAAAGATCTAAATTGCTACTGAGAATATTTTACTTATACAGAGAATAAATTGAGCTGTGAGGTAAAATGCAAAAAAAAAATATATATATATATATGTATCTTCCAGTAAGATATCTGTCTTGGTCAAATACAAATATGAAAGAGAAATACGATAAACTCATGAGTCCTCAAAAAGAACACCACACTGCTATGCTATGAATACGACGATCAATGATCATGACGACAACAATACGCCAAAGCACTAAACCAGATTGGTGCAAAGCAAATAGATAACACAACACATAAAAATTCGTCTGTTTTCTAAGCCATTATTTAGTTTTACCCAAAGAAGATTAAGAATTTAGTTTTGACTTTGACATTATTAAAATCTTTTGCTCTTTCCACCTTTCTGCCCATTTTATACAATAATTGCTTCAACGAGTTTCACTTTCTTTTTCCTTCACAATATAAATGACCCAAGAGAATGAGAGTTCATAAAAACATCTGGAACTTCTTTGATAAAGCACACCATAACTAAATTAACATTCGCCACCAAAGTATTTTTATTTGTAATCATTCTCACCTGCCCAATTACTTAAAAGCATGTTTAATCCGTTTCTTTTCTAATTGGTTGCTGGTATCTCTAGGACAAAGTGAAACAACTGGGTTATCTATACCCAAAGACAGAGGCACAAGAGGGATGAAAATTTTTTCTCTAAGTGGTTGGACTGTATAAGTTTGGTGGACAATATTAGCTATGACCTCACTCAGAACTGCAGTAGGAATAAACATGACACAAACAGGTAAACCATCATTCCACCACTATTAAAAAGTTGGTGCTGGAGGTTGTGGTGGCAGTGGTGAGGTGGGAAGAGGATGCACACATGCCAAAGGGTACACAAGTGTAAGATAGAAAAATAAACTCAATTCTTTTTTTTAACCTTTAACTTCAGGGGTACATGTGCAGGTTTGTTATACAGGTAAATTGTCACAGGAGTTGGTGTACAGACTATTTCATCACCCAGGCAATAAGCATAGTACCTGATAGGTAGTTTTTAAAATTATTTCCCTCCTCCTACCCTCCACCCTCAAGGTAGGCCTCAGTCTGTTGCTCCCTTCTTTGTGTCCATGTGTTCTTGTTGTTTAGCTCCCACTTATAAGTGAGAACATTCAGTACTGGTTTTCTGTTCCTGTGTTAGTAATAAATTCAATTATAACTGTCACTAATCCTTCAAGGTTCATAAGCCCCAAGCATATAAAAAGACTGCAAATACCATTTTCTTTCCTTTGGCCTCAACTGAAAAAGAATCAGGGCCTTTTTAAAACAAACAAACAAACAAACAAAAACATGCTAGCTTGTGTAAAACAGGAATGGGGTAGAGAAAGCCAATTGTTGAGAAGTCAAAGTTTCCTTTATTCAGCTTTTATCTTTCTTTCTGTACAAAGTGCCTAGGAGACCAGCTTCATGGGTGTCCAACTTGTGCAGTCACATAGGGAGAGCCCCAC